GTGTTTTGCTTTGTGTCTAATGATGCATGTGAATGTCATTAATGTGTCATGGCAGGGGCCAGATCCATCCATGGTGTAATGAGCAAGTATGACTACACTGATTTACACCAGCAGATGGGCTGGTCCAGGATTACAAGGAGAGGTGAGCATTCATTAGGGAAAAGCAGAAAGGAGCAAGCGGACTTTGATGTGATACCTGGAGGCAGGCTGGGTGCAGCTGCCTGTGCATCTAGGGCGCTTGTACACATCTTGCATTGTTTAGATACAAACAGCGCCAAAAGAGTGAAACAGATTCTAAGGCTGCAGGAACACCAGGTTGGGGAGGAAGAAGAGGGGGAAATAATTGCCCTTCTTACTAGAGGGGAATTTATTTGTCTCCTCTGAGAGTTAGGCTGCACTGTGGTAGGAGAAATGCAGCCAACAGAGCAGAGCCAGCATGTTGGTTTGACTGGAGTTGCTGCAGATTTGCACTCTGGAAATCTCATTGAGGCCTAGAGCCATTATTCATAAAGTTACCGCAGCCCCTCTCCAATGTCTGGATTACTTCTATTAATGACACCCATGTGGACTGAGAACTAGTCCAGTGCTTCCCTCCAGTTGCTCACAGCCCTCCCCTCGCACATAGGTACTGGACACAAAAATCTGCAACAAAACAGGCTGCCTGCCCCAGGGCCCATCGCATACACATCACTGCGCTCTCTCAGCCCTTTATGGGAACCATATGACATAGTCCCAGCTGACTAGCCCCGGGCCCTGATGCCCTTAAAGGGGTAGAGCACCCTGTTGCAGCCCTTTAGATGTTGCAGTCATTTTTCACATGGGGAAACTGAGGCACAGAAAGCAAGCAGCTCATCCCAGGGACCGCTCAGGACAGCAGGATGCTGCATGGTGCTGCACACTTCCCACTGTAGCCAAAACTCAGCAGCTTGTAGCTGCCTTTTGTATAGGGGCCAAATTCATCCAGCCCGCTCAGTACCTCTACAGATTTGGCGGTGATACAGAAGGCCTCTGCCGCCACTGGTCAGTCAAAGTGAATGTCCTCCCCGTGAACTGCATGACATAGGAAGGCAGAAACAATCCCCACCCCCCCACATCCCCTTCCATTGCTCTAATCCAGTTTAATCTCAAATAGATTAGATTAACCCCACTCTAGCTTTTTAAATCCCACACTGCACCTTGTTAGCCCCTACCCCATCTCCTCCCACAGCACATGGCAAAGCCCCTCTTGCCCATGCTTACATAAGCCCAGCAAAGCTAAGCATCATTATCCGCCCCACGTGCAGAGCAGTCCTTTGCATTCTAAGCGTGTTTGCTACTAAACCCTGTGCAAATATCCAGAGCTAGGGCTGGACCAGCTGCCTCGGCTCTGCACCATGAATCACCAGAATTGAATGCTGTAATGCCCCCAGGTTAGAAAGAAGGTGGTGGTGTGGGGTAGACTTGCTGTATATTATACTAGCGCTCATCTACCCCAACTGAGATCAGGGCCTTGTCATGCTAGGAGCTATGCATTCACAAAGAAGAGATAGCTCTTGGCTCTAAGGGCTTAAGTAGACAGGACAGACAAAGGGAAGTGGCAGCCGTATGGGCTAGAAAATTTGAACCCACTTGCCTCTGCTACCTCTGAGTGAAGCATTGATGGGAATGACTCTAGACAGCCCCATCAAAGCAATGCCTGATCCTTCAGGAGGCTGCAGAGAAAATGGATGTGCTGGAGGGGACAGCTGAATGCCAACTGTCCCTGAGTTTGAGCTCTTCAGCATTCCTGGGACCATCAGTTCTGGTCCAGCGGCACGGACTCAGCCTGTCACTTGGGTGAAACGGTTAAATGGAGCTCCAGGTCACTCGAGTCAGACTCTGACAGCCTGACAAGCCGTGCGTGTGCTGACAAAGAGCACAAAAGAGAGACTCGGGGTGACTGCCCATCAGGGGAACCAAGCTGCTGACTCTGCTGGTGTGTGTTTGTGTGTGTGTTAGTCTGCATACAGGCACTGGCCTCATCATTTGAACCAGTTTCTGTCAGTGTGTGTGGATAGGGCACACACAAACATGTGTGTATCAGTGCATGGGGGTGTACCAACTGGCACATGCATGCATGCCAATGTGTCCATGTGTGCTCCTGCATGTTTCAGTGAGCATGTGTGTCTGCCCTTTTGCTGAGAGTTTAGAAACTCTTCTAAGTGGCCTTTTGAGATCCCATGACACTGCTTAAAAATGTGAGACTTAATCCCATCATCTCTTCACCCCACGATGACCTCGGTCACTTTGCCTCCGGACATGGTAACATGCCTATTTCATAAAATTCCCTAGCATGCACAGTGCTAGCAGACACTCCATTATTATGGATTACAAATCATTACCAGCTCTGATCCTCTTATGCCCTTGCTGGGTTTTGTTTTTATTCAGTCTTGAATAGATTTTGTTTTTGGTGCAGTCACATTGGGATTGTTAGGTGGATTTTTTGGGTTCTTTTTTTTTTTTTTTTGGAACCATGCTAGACTTTTAACCCATTTCTCCAGCTCCCTCCAGGAGCTGATTTACTCACCAGCTGGAGTTAAAACAGATCTAAGCCCTTTCACGACCACACTCCAACGGCCCTGGCTAAGGGAGATTGATTAACAACTGTGTAGGGAGTTCAAACCCTGGTCTGTAATACGTTCCTGGGATCTAGAAATGCAATTCTCTTAAGAAAATGCTGTGCCCCTAGGAATCTAGTTTAAATAAACTCATCTATTGAGAGCCTTAAATTAACCAGACTGCTCTGCTGCCGGGAATATTGACAGATTATGATGCTGCCTGCCATACCACTGCTGATTGCCACATGCCCAGTTATACTCCCTGCCAGAGTGTAGCCCCATTAAATTTATCCTACAAAGAACTCCTCTGTCACATTAACAGACCCTGCTAGCAACTGATGATTGCAGCAAAATCCAGCTGTTTAAGGTGGCAGAACCTTACTACACATCCTGGCTTCATAGAGTAGGCTCCAAGCTACTTCAGCATTTGCTTGCATTCACTTAACTAAAAATTGAGTAAGAACAGAAGAGACAAAGGAAGGAGTAGGTGAGAGAGGATTATAGGTGAGAACAGTTGTAATAAGATGGCTAAAGATGGCTTATGGTGCATTTAGTTGTTTTATGCCAGTTCGAGCTGGTTTAGGATACACTATAGCTTAAAAAGAGAATACAAATAAGCATCTGGATACCAGTTAGTAGGAACATCTCTATATCTGTTATCTTTATTTAGGAAGCTGCTGAAATTAGGCCAGGTAACAGAGTATAACAATCTGGGTTCACCTGAGAAACCTGGCTCTTCAGCTTTAACCTATGGTTCTTGCTGAAGAGCCCATTTGCAAATGAACTGAGATAAGCAAGTTTGAAGATGACACCAAACTGGGGGGAGTAGTGGATACGCTGGAGGGTAAGGCTAGAGACCTCAACAAATTAAAGGACTGGACAAAAAGAAATATCATGAGGTTCAATAAGGACAAGTGCAAAGTCTTGCACTTAGGATGGAACAATCCCATGCACCAAGGGAAGTTTAGGTTGGATATTAGGAAAAACTTTCTCACTAGGAGAGTAGTGAAGCACTGGAACAGGTCACCTAGAGAGCTGGTGGCATCTCCATCCTTGGATGTTTTTAAGGCCCAACTCAACAAAACCCTGGCTGGTGTGATCTAGTTGGGGGTGGTCCTACTTTGAGCAAGGGGTCGGACTGGATGACCTCCTAAGGTCCCTTCCAACCCACATTTTCTATGATTTCATGATTCCAAGTGCTTTTTTGAAAACTTAATTTTAAACGTAAGTAAGAAGTTCCTTTCCCCTACCAGGCTGCCCACCTCTCCAGGGCTTTTTAAGACTTTAGGGCTTGGAGAGTTTAAGAGTACTGTCTTTCAAACGTTAATGATATGGTTATTTCTTTAGATGAATATGCATTTTAACACTTGTAATTGCTGGCTTGATGTGCCTCACCTCCACTGTTTGGTCATTTACATTCTTATCTGAATTTCATGATTACATGTATTAATAAAATGTATTTGCATGTATGTTTGGAAATATTATTTTTGGCAGGACTGGCATTGTAAGCCTGTTTTGGTTCTCTTCATGCTTCTGGGGGTCAACAACAGGGACTAGTTAAGAGGCATTTTGGTTCCCTTCTATAACCTACGGAGACTGTTTGTGATGCAGTATTGTCCAGGAGCACACTGCCCCAGCACAGAGCTCAGGGAAGCCAGGGTCTGTGGGACTGGGCAGTCACCTCTCCATTGCTGCCCACAGCAGCTCTCTCTAACGGGCTGCTGGGTCACAGTTGAGGGAGAAAATGAGACCCTTCAATTAGTCCTTGTTCAGCTGCCCCTGCTCAGGCATCTGTTAGTCATTCCCTCTTCCAAATTTTAGAGCTGCGCCCTTGCAAAGCCCCAAGGGAGTCCTGGAATTGGGATTTTGTCCTGAATTTGAAACACTGGTCAAAAGATAGCCCATTACTTGGCCACTTTGGTCCCAGTACCACCCCTTACTGGCCTAAGTTTCATGGCCATACTGGTTCCAGTTACCCAGCCATCCTGGATAACAGTACTCTGCCATACTGGTCTCAGTTCTGTAGCCACACTGGTCCCAGTACCTTCTATATTGGCCCAAGACCTCAGCCATACAGGCCCCACTTCCCTGACCACACTGGAAACAGTACCCTTCCTTCATGGTTCCAGTTTCCCAGCAATACTGGTCCCAGTTACCCAGCCGTAGTGGTACCAGAACCCTTCTCCTAGTGGTACTAGTTATCTGTCCATACTAGTTCCAGCTTGCCAGCCATACTGATACCAACACCCCACTTTATTCATCCCAGTTCTCCAGTGGTCCTTTTTCCAATTCCCCAGCCATAGTGGTACCATTTCCCTGGCCATTCTGGCCCCAGTCCTCCCCCACCTGACTCCCCAGCCATACTGGTCTGTTTTCCAGCCTCCCCCGCAGAGCTCTATGAGACGAACCACCAACCAAACACCATTGGAAAGGAGAAGCACTTTAACGGCCTCAGAGCTCTCCTGCCCCATGCCCTCAGCCCCCAGTCCTAGATCCAGGACTCTATGGCAAGGAGGAAAATACACCAGGACAGTTTTTGACAGTGCTGCATTGGGGTTTGCCTAAACACAGCAAGGAAGGCAGAAGCATCCTACTGGCTTCCAATGGGATACTCCTGGGGTGGCCTGCCAGTGCCGCTTGTAGGAGGGAAGGGCAGCTGCAGATAGAGGGACCAGGAGGAGCAGACCTGGTGCTGTAGTCCCAGGTGCTGTAGTCCCATCTCCAAGAGATGGAGATGGGGCAGAGCTGTGGGTCTTCATTAGAGCCTAAGATACAGATTCCTGAAACCATTCAGAAGCTTGAAGCTGGGAGGGTGCCAAAACCACACTAGGATGCAGGAGGCCTCGGAGTGTTTTCCCTTTTGGGATGCCAGAAGCCTGAAGAACCAAGAGGAGGCCCTTCCCTGCCAAGTTGGAGCTGCTGAAGAGGAGGAATTTCCTCTATAGTCTTGCCATGCTGTTCAAATTCACCACCACCCCTAAGAGATGCTGGAGAGAAGAGACTTAGGGGTTGGGAGAGGGGAATGAGTCCTTGCAGGTGTCTCCCTCCAGGAGCTGAGGAGCAGCATGGGGAAGGCCAGGCAGCATGGATCAGGAACGACTCTGGCCCTGGAAGTAATCCAGGCATTTTTCCTGTGAGATCTGGAAGTGAAGGGAGTGATTAGTGAGCACCTGGGGAGTCTGAGACATGAACCTCCCCAGACCAGCTGAGACATAACCTAGTGGGGACCTCAGGGGCAGCTATGGGAGGCCTCAAGGGAACTCAAGGTCCCCAAACAGCATCTGAGCTCCTAACTCCATAGTACATGAACAGCTAAGAGCATCGATCTCAGGAGGAGACGATGGTGCAGGTGCTCCTACCATCAGGGGACGGGGAGGGCCAAGAACCCACCCAGAGCAGAGTCCTGGGTCTGGAAGTCCCTGTGGCACAAAGATCCCAGGGTTCCCCAACTAAACAGCTTCCTCTCACCTGGTGACAATGAAGACCCTTCCTACATCTTAAGAGATGTCACGCGGGGGATGTGGAAGGGACAGGTCTCCTCCGAGCCAGTAGAGCTGGAGACAGGGAGGAAGAAAATGAAAGAAGCCAACATTACTCCTGCTCATGCCTCTCTTGCTGTCACCAGCTGGGGAGGATGAGCCACAGTCCTGATCCCAGCGCACAAGGCACTGGCTGCTTACATGAGCCGGTTCCGGATGGGGCGGAAGTACTTGGTGAGCTTGATGGCGAAGAGGATGCTGGGGATGAGGAAGAAGGTGCAGGCACCCAAGCTGAACCAGAAGGCATTCTGGAATGACATGGCATGTCCCCTCACTGGCTCTGTCCAGCAGGGATGGCCCCTCCAGTGCTCGAGAGAAGTCAGGAGCAGGCTGATGATGGGGGCACTTGGAGTCCAAGACTAATGCCCCAGTATGGAGCAAGAGCACCTGGCTTGTGGTTACTGCTTTATGCTGCAGGCAGGCAGCAAAGAGCTGGGACTTAGTGGTCCGTAACTCACCTCACTGGTTGGCACTGGTTGATGTACAGTTGAATAGCCCTAAGACCAGCCAGTCCAGGGCAACATGGACATGCATGCGTGTATACATGCACACACACATACACACATGCATGCACACACTGTTTCTCTAGCAGGCCCTCTCTGGACCTCCCACTGCATGACTGGGGAGCTGTGAATGCCCTGCACCCAGCCACCAGGCAGCCCCCTACCCTGCCTTCTTCCCATCCTGCTCAAGCAGAGAGGCAGGGAGGGCCCCTTGCATGGGGTATACACATTTCTTGGCCTCGCTGTATCTGTCCTGCTCTGACCTTTCTCTGTGGAGGCTGCAGGCACCTCAGGCTGCTCACATGAGATGCGGGAGCCTCATTTATTCCCTCTTGCTAGAGGCTAGTGAGGTGATAATGGAGCAGGAGCCCGAACGCTGAACGGCTGGCGTACTGCAGCCTCTATGGGCTGACCGGGGGAAGCGAAGTCACAGGGGAGAGGGCAGGGCCTTCTGGTCCCTGCTGCCAACACTGTGTGTTACCTCACCCCTGTATAACGCAGTGGGCATTAGCAGGCCCAGGGACTGGGAGACAAGATGCCAATACCCCTGGGGCCTGGGGTTGGTATTGTGCCTGGGGCCATGGCCTTGCTACCGTTCTCTTAGCCAAAGTTGAGCTAGCTCAGGTACCTTCACACATGCTGAATGCACACATGTCTCTATGGAGCCTGGGAGCTGCCCATGCAGTGCCTGCAACAGGTTCCTAGAGGAAGGCAGGCAGGCAGGAGAGCTACTTCCCCACAGGGCCTGGCCTGTTGTCCTTACCCAGGGGTCTGCAATGCGGTCGCACAGGATCACCCGGCCGTTATCCATAGCAGTGGAAAAGGGCTGACAGGAAGCCACCTCCTTAGTAAGCTGGAAGAGAAGAGCAGGCAGGAAACTTATCTACAAAGGGGCCTGCATGGGGACAGCTGTAGTCCCAAACCTAGTCCTCCCAGTACCCAGCATCTGAGCTGCCTTTGGTCCAGTATCTCCCAAGAGGTCCCAAGAGCTGCTGGCTGCAGGCACTTTCTCTGTCACTACCCCCCCTCCGGTCCTAGCAGGGGCTTTCAAAGAAGGATCCATTGTTATTTCATTCCGCCTTTCAAAAACAGGTTGCATGTTTTATTCAGGGGCAGATTGTATGTGAGAAAGTATGGTATTATCATGTCTATTTGAAGCTGGGTAAACTGAGACATGGAGCAAAGGAGCAAGCCCTTCCCTCAAGATCACAGAGGAGAGCCCAGGTCTTAGTCAGGGTCAAACCCAGGTCTTCAGCAGCCTGGTGCAGTGCTTCAACCACAAAACCAACCCAGCACCTACATTTCCACTCTCTTCTATGCAGCCCCATAGCACTGGCAGCACTTTAAGCTATGAGTGCCCCTGGGAGCTTTAGCTCTCATTTCTGCTCTGCTAGTTCTTCTGCCGACATCACTACCTACCGTGCGCCTCACCCACTGCAGGTATTGGGTGAAATACCCCACCTCTTTTTTCGTGAAGCAGCTGATCTCCTGCAGAAAGAGACAACAGCCTGAGATACACAGGAGAGTTTCCAGAGGGGTGTCAGACTCATGGTAGACAGCCTTGCATACTGTTGGCTGCATCTCAGCCAGGCATTTGGTTTGCAGGGTAGCTATACAGATCCTGGCAGGTTATGATGCTGTAGAGCACACTGGAGAGGTCTGCCATGGTCCCCTCCTCACTCACCTGTTTCAGGATCCTGTGAGCTTGTCTAGGCAAGGTAGTCTCCACAGAGGCAATCTCAGCCATTGTCCATCTCATGCGTTCCTGGTGAGAAAAAGAAGCATAAGGAAGCACAGGGGAGATGAACAGGACTGAGAGCTGGGATGGCTGAGATGAGCATTGTGGGGTGCTCTGGGAGCAGGGTGGAGCCGGGGGAACAATGCACTTCATTATGGGCATGTGAGCAAAGGTGATAATTTTCCCTCCCCAATCTTCACAGCAGCCCTGAGTAAGCAGAAAGGGTCCCTATTTCCATGCATTCACCCAAGAGTAGGCCCCAGAGGTCAGAATTGCACCCTATTTTGCCATGTGACCCCACTGCTTGGCTGCCCCACTCTTAGCTCATCCAAAGAGAGTTGGAAGCTGACAGCCCAGAGGCATTGGACACCTCTGTGGAAATCACCACGTGCTCTCCTCATCAGTCGCACCATCCCAAGAAGGAGGTTGCTGCCTGGTTGCGTTGGTAATGGAGCATGGAAGCCCTCGTGCCTCCTTCCCCTGACATTCAGGGCATGGTGATCTGTGCCTGTTCAGTACACCCAGCAGGAGAGTGGCTGACAGGTCAGGCCAGCACTGCTCAACCTAGGTAGCAATAGTCCACTCCCTGAGGTCTGTCTATGGGGTCTTATGGCAACAGTACCTGTAGGTGTGCTGCAATCTCAGATAAGAACTGGACGCTCTCATTCAGCTGCACCTGAAAAACCAAGGGGAAGTGACATTTGTAGCTCAGATGTGGCCCTGTGTCTTTTGCCCCTTGCACGCTCACACATATACCACAACAATGAACGTTCCCTTCAATTTATCTCTAGAGCTATGATCAAAGGGGCCTCAAAGGTTAGCCATGCTACCCTTCAGTCTCCTCTTCAAATACTGCAAATGAGTACTCAAAGGGCATAAATGAAAGCCCCTCTTGGTGCCCACAACCACTAATGGTCTATTGCCCATCTTAGGGACCTCAGCAAGAAGTGTTTAACTGAAGCTAGACCTCAGCACCCCAGCCCTTGGAGCACAGCATGGACCCATCACCTTTGAGGTTCAAGGTACACCCCTGTCCAGCACACACTCACCACAAGGGCCTCCTGGGTGCGCACAGAAGAGTTCTGAATTTGCCACAGGGCCTGGGATTCATCTGCCAGCTGTCCTGCTACCGTGCTGTTTTTCTGTAGGGGGGACACCAGAACGACCAGAGTCAAGGATGGCTCTTCTGATCCCAGAAACTGCTGGGCTCAAGGGAGCTGCCTCTCTGGGTAGGAGCAGGCAAAGCATGTGTCTCTTCTCCATTTCTGATCTCTCCTCCCACCCAGTTCCCAGTCAAGGACACATCTGTCTTTCAGCCTCACTTGGCTCCATGCTCACCTGAAGCTTTTGGAGGCCCTCCAGACTGACAGCTAGGCCTTCCAGGCTTGTCTTCACTATAGGGTTCTGCATCTGAAGGAAGCAGCCAGCAGCATCATTAGTTAGTGGTGCACACAGTCCACCAAGAAAAGGATGGGCTCAGTTCAGGGAGAGAAGGTCAGGGGGGCTGTGCACAGGGTACAGACATGTCAGTCTGGGCAAGAAGCATTGAGACTGGAGCCTGCTAAGACCTGCTGGAGCCAGACTATTGGCCAAGTCTTGACTAATGCACAAGAAAGGCTTTTAAAGCATCTGGAAATCCCACTCATGCAAACAGACATGCAGCTGCAGCCCATGAAAGGGTAAAAAACATGGCATGTACATACTCTCCCAGACACCAGAAAGCAACCAGCAGCTTGGCATGGACTGTATCAGGTTTTGGCACCTTAGCCTGGCACGCCTCACCTCTGCCCAGAATGCAGGGTAGTTGATGCGGTCGATCCCACTCCGGGCAAAGGTCTCTAGGTCCCGTCTCCCGACACTGTTTAGGATGTGGATTTCTCCAAAGTGGGTGCTGAAATTGCTGAGAAGTTTCTCAAACTCTGTGGTGTACTGGGGATTAAGGTAAGGCATCACCACCAGACTCATGGATGCTGCTGTTTGTTAGGACCTCGACCCAAAGCTCTTTGCAGACCTGGACTTTGGACTGAGCCTTGGTTCATTCCAGGTGGGGTGACCACCACATGCTGTGACCTCAGTCTGCTCCAACCCAACATAACAAACCAGGGAGAGCAGCACAGCAACTCAAAGAAGTGGGCTCCATCCTACAACAGTAACCCCAATAGAGGTCAATTTGTGCACCTCATCCTATAAAAGCAGGAGAGCATGACTTCAACACATATAGGATGCTTCACACAGCATCCTATATATCCTTCCCTGGTAGAGGCATCTCTGCTGCAGATCCCCTTCCTTCACACACAGACCAGCTGTTCTTCATTCAGCATTATGGGAGCATTATGCAGCACCCTACAGAAATGCTGACAATGAAACTCAGTGGAGAGGGGATGTTTTGCTATTGCAAGGAATTTCTATAGGAAGCCATTGTCTTGGCCTGGGACTGAAACAGGACTTCCAGAACTGAAGCTGTAAGCTGTCAGACCAGAGGAGGCAAGGCCATGGAGCTGGAATACACATCCTCTGCAGCTCACGGACAGAGGGAGACCTTTAAGAGGCACTGATCAATGAGTTCCACAAGCATAAGGATTTTTCCTCCACTCTTTAGTTTGTCCTGTCCTTTAGCTGTTATCCTTGTGGCAATGAGTGACCTATCACCCATCCAAGTTCCCTTCCCACCCCAGCCAAGGGAGCTCTCTCCTGACCAGCAATGACATCCAGTTATGAAAGCCCAGACTGGGTAAGAAGAGGCAATGGGGAAGATTCACCCCTCATGTTGTAAGACAAGGCTGTGTCCCTTGGATCCAGTCCTCTCCCTTGGAAAAGCCCTCAACCCAATGGACATAAAGACTTTATCTTCACTTGGGTTGGTTCCTCTATGGAATACAGGGGTCTTACCAGGGACCAGGGGCTTTGGTGAACTGAAGAGACATGGACATCTAATTCCCATCCTCTTTTATCCATGTATGCTTAGGGCAGCCCAGGACTGAAGAGGGCAGGCCCTGTGCCCTCAGGGCAGGGGGTGGTGTCTCCTCACCTTGGCAAGTCTTAGGTGATCATCAAGATTGTAGGTGTCATTATGCTCCAGGATTTCCCAGAGGCCCATACCCTTCTTACACTCCCTGTAACAGAGAAGTGGGGAAGGGAAACAAGGCAAAGGGGAGAGGTAAGATCAGGCCCCCATGCAGCCTTTCCCAAGAAGTCCTGCCTGCTGCAATCCTGTGCTATGGCTGGTCTCTTGCTGGCTAAGATCGAGAGTAGGGAGTATCTGAAGCCCCAGGCTTAAGTGTCTGGGAAGGAGGATGCTTGCCTGTAGTATCAGGGGGCATCTGAACCCCAAGACCTCCAGGCTTGGGTTATGAAAGCCCAGACTGGGTAAGAAGAGGCAATGGGGAAGATTCACCCCTCATGTTGTAAGACAAGGCTGTGTCCCTTGGATCCAGTCCTCTCCCTTGGAAAAGCCCTCAACCCAATGGACATAAAGACTTTATCTTCACTTGGGTTGGTTCCTCTATGGAATACAGGGGTCTTACCAGGGACCAGGGGCTTTGGTGAACTGAAGAGACATGGACATCTAATTCCCATCCTCTTTTATCCATGTATGCTTAGGGCAGCCCAGGACTGAAGAGGGCAGGCCCTGTGCCCTCAGGGCAGGGGGTGGTGTCTCCTCACCTTGGCAAGTCTTAGGTGATCATCAAGATTGTAGGTGTCATTATGCTCCAGGATTTCCCAGAGGCCCATACCCTTCTTACACTCCCTGTAACAGAGAAGTGGGGAAGGGAAACAAGGCAAAGGGGAGAGGTAAGATCAGGCCCCCATGCAGCCTTTCCCAAGAAGTCCTGCCTGCTGCAATCCTGTGCTATGGCTGGTCTCTTGCTGGCTAAGATCGAGAGTAGGGAGTATCTGAAGCCCCAGGCTTAAGTGTCTGGGAAGGAGGATGCTTGCCTGTAGTATCAGGGGGCATCTGAACCCCAAGACCTCCAGGCTTGGGCCTGCACATAGGATGCCTGCCAGTGGATTTAGGAGTAACTGAAGTCCTAAGGTGATAGGTCTGAGATGGAGGATGCTCACCGGTTGTAGGGCCAAACATGGTGTTTAGAATGATTGAGATCTGCTCAATTAATACGATTTGGAACTGATTTGGCTAATTTGACCTGGAACATGAAATATATAAATAAATTAAAAAAACCACAAAAAAATAAAGATCCTGTGCCGTGGTTGGCACTCCACAGGACCTTGACCAGGCCGCTGCTTCCCCTCACTCATCCCTAGTGTCTCTCATCCCACTCAGCAATAAGCTCTCCCAGACAGCGCCACGGTATGATACTCACTGGTAAGTGAAGGTCAAGTTTAGTCTCCTATTCAAGCCCAGCTGCTGGGTGATGTTCATGGATGGAGGCAGGTTCCCAGGTGTGTCCATAAACTGTTCAGCAAGAAAAAACTCTCAAAAACTACACTGAGAAAATGAGACACACTCCTCACATTCATAGATGGAGAGAGCAGGGGGTGATCGAGCAAGAGGGGGCCCAGCTATGTTGGTGTCACTAGTATTCAGGGAAGGAAAAAGAGAGAGAGGAAAAGGAGTGAGGGTCTATGCGAGGGAACTGGCTGGCACAGAGGCTAAAATCAGCCTCAGCATCAGACAAAACGTCACCAGAGGGCTCTGGGAAGCTGAAGGTGTTCCCACCCTGCATACGAGGAACGGACCAGGAGTCTCATGGGTACACGGTACAGCCAAGCACTGCAACGTGGGCACACTACAGCCATAAAGCTACTTTCTAAGACAGACAGTAACACCGCACCCTAGGAATGCCACAACCATAGCACTACACCCACCCAGGTACACTGTGGTGCTACATGCTGGAGTATTGTCCCTAGTTCTGCCTTAACACTAGCCTCTCACCTGAGAGCTGACCGTCCCTTCAGGGCAGGGGTCAGCAACATTTTTGGGTGGAGTGCCAAAAACACCTGCAATCTTGACTTGTAAGATATAGACATGCCAGGGGTGGATGGTGGGAGAGTCACAAGGGGCCCAATCCTTGTCATGGCAGAGTAGCCCCGGTCCCTTCCCTGCCATCTGCCCCAAGGCGCACGTGCCAAGCAAAAACCCTTTGCGTGCCATGCTTTTGCACCCGTGCCGGAGATCGTCTCCCCCTGCTTTAGGGTTCCCTGAATGCATGATGCTATCTTATATGACTGATGCACTTCAGAGATACAGCACCAGAGATACAGGTACTGGAGAACTCTGCCTGTCATTGATTTCCCAGCTTTCTGGCTGTTCCAAATTTTTTTTAAAAATCAGCCAACCATAACGTAAGAAAATAATTGTTTCCTCTTGAGCAAAATGTTACAATCCCTTTTGCAGAGTCTGAAAACATTTTTTTTTTTTTTTTTTGGTAAACAAAACTTCAGTAGCTTCTAAAATGAAATGTCCTTTCACATTTTGCCATGGTTCATTTCAGGGCTTTCTTTTCCCTGCCCCCTGCAAAATGCAACAATGTAGCAAAATCAATGCAAATTTGTGATGCTGTTTGGTCAATCATATTCTATGTTATCCAGCCAAAAATGTTTCATCTAAGAATTAGTTGCAGGAGGGGTCTGGACTAGGTGCATCCTCTGTAGGTCCCTCCCAGCCCTACCATTGTATGATTTTATGAACACATTTGCCCAGCTCTAATGCACTTCAGGCTCATTGCTGCCCTGGAATCTCTCCATCTGCTCTTCCCCACCATGGCATGAGGCCCAGTTCCCTCTACTCCTCTCGACATCAGTGTGAAAGGCTCAGTCTTTGGGCATGAAAAGGAGCGTTGCTAACTATTTTGCAGTCCCAGTCTTGGATCTCACTTGTCCCCCTAGGCCAGACAAAGCTATTAGTACCTCTCTCCATTTGCAAACTTCAGCTGGCTGAAGCAAAGGCAGAGGGAGAGTTGTGGTGACAACTGCCTTCCAAATTGGGATCAAGTGTTAATCGTCATTTGATGAGGTTTAATTAATTCACTGGCATGGCCTGCATGCCCAGAGGTGAAGGAATTCAAGGGGCTGACTCCAGCATAATTGTATTGTTCCACACTGTGCAACAAGCATGTTATTAAATTACACACAGGAAAGGGCAGAATTGCGTTTGGTGACAGGTTTAATCATTGCACTGCAGGGCCACTGTGGACCTGGAGCCATATTTATCCCTGGTGTAACTACATGGAAGTTATGGGAAAATGACTGGATCTGTTCCCCTCTGGCTCATTGTACACACAGTCCATGAGCTGGGTTAAAGGTGAGCAGGTGTCTTTTCCAGTGTGTCACATCACACAAGACATTCGCTCAACCATTTACAAGATAGTATTCACATGCACCATGCCAATGCCGACTAGACCCAGCCAGGGCTCACCACAGTAATAATGATCAGGCTGTTAGAGAACCAGAGTACTGATGATGAAACAAGAGACTTTCTAGGGTGATTGGGTAGTTGCTGCTTGCTTGCAGGTTGCAACATGTTGAGCACACTGGTCATGTCTTGAGTCACACTGATTTTCATGTATGCACAGGCTTGAAGTCCAGCGGAGGGCAACAAAAATGGTTCAGGGGCTGGAGAACATGACTTCTGAGGAGAGGCTGAGGGAACTGGGCTTATTTAGTTTGAAGAGGAGAAGACTGAGAGGGGATTTAATAGCAGCCTTCAATTCCCTGAAGGGTGGCTCCAAAGAGGATGGAGCTGGACTGTTCTCAGTGACTACAGATGACAGAACAAGGAGCAATGGTTTCAAGTTGCAGCAAGGGAGGTTTAGGTTGGATATTAGGAAAAACTATCTCACTAGGAAGGAGGTGAAGCACTGGAGCAGGTTACCTGGAGAGGTGGTAGACTCTCCACCTTGGAGGTTTTTAAGGCCCGGCTCAACAAAGCTTGAGCTGGGATGATCTAGTTGCTTTGAGCAGGGGGTGGACTAGATGACCTCCTGAGGTCCAATGTTCCCTCTAAGGTTTAGCGATCTGTGAGCAATCCTGGCTGGGAGTGCACAGGTATCTCAGTGTGCCCGCCCCTTCCCTCCCCACTCCTGCAGCAGCCTGTGGCCAGGTTGGGGTGGGTGGCAAGCAGCTGGATGTGAAGCTGGCGGTGGCGGCGGTGGAGGGAGCATTGGCACCCCCTTGCTACGGCACTGGGCACCCCCCCTCAGGCTGGCACCCAGGGACCATGGCCCCCTACTGCCCCTGCCCCCCTCTGCCGGTACACCACTGTGTGCACAGCATTAAAAAGTTATTGCGCAGCAGGATTTCCTCTTGTGCGCAGCCATGCATGCACGCAGCTTAGCGGGAACGCTGTTGAGGTCCCTTCCAACCCTCATGTTCTATGATTCTATGAATCTCTCATTTGACCCAACTCTCGCACTCATCTCTAACCCCACAACTCCTCTACCTACCAGGAAACTGTATCAGAACCTGATCAGCCAGACATTTATGTCCCTCTGATGCAGGGAGAATGAAGGGTCCATATGGCAAGGGAGAATGAAGGCCAAGGTGCAATGAATGCATTCATGAGATCAAACAAATGATGGCAGCACTGTTCACTGCAAAGTGTGAGAGACAGAGCTGACTGCATGTGTGACGGGGTTGGCAGGCATGCACCCTGTAGGTGTGGTAGGGGGACATATGTGTGAGACAGACTGTGCAGCAGGTGCATAAGGAGTGTACCGGTCAGTGTGCAAAGGGGTGACCACATGTGTGTAGATGGTATGTGCATAGTAATTGGCATAGTCTGTGCCAGGTGAGGAGTTCATGGATGATGGGTATGTGCAGCAGGTCATGTGTACACACAGGAATTGGCACTGTCTGTGCATGGCAATGACTGTGCCATGAGGTCAGTGGGTGTGTACAGCAGGGCATTGTGGGTGCAAACAGTGATCAGCGCAGTCTGTGTGAGGCACAGAGCATGCATGTCTATTCAGCTTCGCATTAGTTAACAATGCTGAGGCACAAGACCAAGCTGGTTCTTCTGCAGCCAGCGCTTATCCTGGCTTGAGCCTGTGTCCTGCCAAACAAACAGAGCCAGGACCTACCTTGTAAATCTCCTGATTAGCCCAGTTCTTACACACCAGTGTCTGGACATTTCCCCCAATGAAGAAGGTGGCAAAAACCAAGAGAATCAGCAGCCAGGAGAAGAAGAAGCTTAAGCTGACGCCACTGGAATAGACAGGAGAGAAGTTGCATTACAGAGCAGCCTGGCTGGCAGTGAATGTGCTGGAACAAGCAGGGCGTGGGCATGTTGGAAGCTGCCCTGCTCCTCTTCCTAGCCCCAGGCATCTGCACACAATTCTCCACAGCTGCACGGGACCCTCCCAGAGCAAGACCTCACCTGTACCATGAGGCTCTGACACAGGCAGGCTGAGCAGGCTAGAATCCACTCTGGCTCCGTGAGAATGCCCCGGGGACCAGGCCACACCAGATACAGCTGCTGTGAAGCAAGTGGAGGCCCTTGCTGGGAGGAAATGCAAGGGACAGGAATGCAGGCTCCTGCTCAAAGCTCCCCAGGCATAGCAGGAAAGAGCAGCACCTCCCAGCATCTGCAGGGGCCTCTGCAGGGGAGAAGCTGATGGAGAGCTGAACCATGCCGCTTTGCTGGGTCCCACCATTTCCATACTGCAGCATGCACAAGTTGTGGAAGTTTCTCTGAGAAGGGCACTCTCCCCTCCCTTCAGAGCACAATCCATGCAGGAAACATACACTACAGCCATTGGTTTATAGATTAGAAGGCCAGAAGGATCCATCATGATCATCAGATCTGACCTGTTGCAGAACACAGCCCAGAGGATCCCACCCAGGAGCCCTGAGCTGCTGTTGCAGCTATAGTGCATCTTGTAGAAAGAAACTCAGTTTGAGTGAACAGCTGCAAAGGAGGGAATTGCAGAAGCACGGAGCTGGAGGAGACCTCAAGAGCCATCTTCTCCAACTGCCCGTACAAACTTCCCAAGAAATACAAGAAGGACCCTTGTTAACTCAACCACTTTAACAGGATGCTTGCTGTGAGCCCATGGAGTATCTATACCAATCATATTAAGTAAAGACCTGCCAGGTCCATCTCCGATAGTGCTGAGTTATAACCACCTCATGTAAAACACACCTAATAATTCAGGAACCATCTCAGACCATGCAGGATGGTGCTAGAGGTCTGTGAGGACTCAAGATGCTAAAGTCACCTGCAAATGGATGACTAAAGCCCAGAGGAAACACCAGTAGGAGATGAGATTGGCTTTCTGCCATCTCCATGGATGGAAGAGTGCTAAGAAGCACCAGGCCTTAGTGCATGACAAAAGAAAAGCCCAGCCACGGAAGCCCCCTTGTTCCCAGTTCCTTCCCTCCCATCCAGGCTTGCTGTGTACCCCTAAGTGCCACATCATCATGGAGAAGTTCCCAGCTGGCAGAATAAGGATGGATTTTGGTCATAGAGCCATGTGCTCTAGATGTGCTCAAGAAACCATCTGTCCCGTCGCCTCTGTAAATGACCCCAGTATGCCTCTGCCCCACCTAGCATAGTACCATCCACTTACACCATCAGGACCGTGGCCCCGGCTTCTCCCTTGCTTTCATAGTCACTTGGATCATCCCGCACAGCCAGCCCGTAGGCTCCGAGGGCCAGCCCCAAGAAGTTACAGATGACGACTATAAGGACTACAGAGCACAGAGCAATGCCTCCAATCCACCTGGTGAGAGAAGAGGGGCTCAGATGTGGTGAAAGAGCATGCCATACACCCTTGTTCCTCTTTTGAACCTAAGGAATGAGGAAAGTTTGAAACATCACCTGCCATAATTGAAAATCAGTCCCAAACTCTCCCTTGAGTATAACCTCAGCCAGTCACTGAGGCCTCAGTCCCAGCTAGTGGAGTCTATGGGGAGACCTGAAACCCACCATCCTGTGGGCTTCTCTGTAGAAGCACCTTGTCCTGGTGTGATACACTCTGTAGGCCCTTACACAGATGGGTAGTGGCAGCGTCTGTATGACATCAATCTCTATTAGCTGCCCCCATGGAAATACATCTTAAACTCACATGGTAGAGGCTTGTGATAAGGAGCTGAAGGTCCCAGACTCAAGGCCTGCTGATATAGGTGAAAGCTAAAAGGCCAGAACTTCTTAGCTAGAGGCTAAATAGGCTACAACTTTTTTACTTAGAAAAGACAGGCTTGAAGGGGGGCACGATAGCAGCTAGCAAAACAATAAAATGTGCAGAGAAAGTAAATTGGGACTTGTTAATTATTGGGTGAGTCTACATGAGATACTTTAAGGTGCATTAACGTAAATTTAAGGTGCATTAGGGCACACATCTATACATGCACACCCTTAATGTGCTTTAAAAATGGAGATTTGGGGGCTAATTGCACCTACATTCGATACGTGCAAATGCAGGTGTCTACACGTGCAGGGTCCTGCTTCTGGGGTTCAGGGAGCTAATTCTGAGTTTGCTTACTCCAGAATGAATTGGGAGTCACTTCATGGATGTCAGTGGGGTTATGGCAGGGGTGGGCAATTATCTTACCTGTACTTCTCATAATGTTTGATCTCCTTAAGGTAAGGCCGACTGCCATTCTCCATCCTTGCAAGGGCATTGGCCACAAGCTGTGTATGGTTTGAGATTGAGAAGTTGTCTGCCAAGGCCTGGACCTCCTCCACAACTCTGACTACCTCATACTGTAGGTCTGCAAGTTGAGAGGAGAGATGTAGAAAAGGATGAGTAGGCAGGCCAGGCACTGGGACACAGATGGTGTGAGGTAACCATTGGTGCTTTCTGGCCATCCCAAGGGGAAGGTTCATAAAAGCCCATCTAGGTAATATATCCCTGCTCTGCTCAGGACACACCATCTCACCTGATGGGGCCCAAGTTTAGGTGATTAAGGGCCCTCAGTATAAGGCCTGTCTTCACTGGGCACACTGAAGGCCTGATCTCTAGTAAGACTCTTGGACCCAGCACACCTACAGGCTGGGCATCGCTAACCTGACCAGCACTACAAATGAAAGGGATCTGGGGGTAACAATAGACCCCAGCAAGAATATGAGCTGGCAATGTGACACAGTAGCCGCTAGGGCCAATAAAACTCTGGCATGCATCAATCGATGCATCTCCAGTAAATCCAAAGAAGTGATTCTCCTGCTTTATTCAACATTGGTGCAGCTGCAGCCGGGGTATTGCATCCAGTTCTGGGCGCCGCACTTCAACAAGGATGGGCTAAAGCTCAAGAGGGTCCAGAGAAGGGCCACCCGTATGATCAGGGACTTGCAAGGCAAGCCATATGAGGAGAGGCTGAGGGATCTCGGACTCTTCAGCCTAAGAAAAGAAGGCTGAGAGGGGACCTGATTGCAGCTTACCACTATATCAGAGATGCATATCAGGGGCTGGGTGAACAACTGTTCACCAGGGCACTCTGGGGGAAAACTAGAAACAACAGCCACAAACTCCTGGAAGATAGTTTCAGGCTGAGCATTAGGAAAAACTTCTTTACAACTAGGGTGTCCAGACTATAGAACAAGCTCCCCCCAGAGATGGTGCAATCATCTACTCTAGAGGTCTTCAAGAGAAGACTGGACGGTCACCTGGCTGGGGTCGTCTGACCCCAGATGCCTTTCCTGCTCATGCAGGGGGCTGGACCCGATGATCCTTTGGGGTCCCTTCCAGCCCTATGATTCTATGACCTTAATGCACTAGAAGCAATAAAGGGTTGCATCTCAAAGGCTGAGCTTTAACTGAATCATATACCTCCCTACCTGTGCTTTAGTGACTTTAAGCATTTCCATTGTTCGCTCCAATTTTCAAGGCATTATGATGCCTTTATAAAGATTTGATTGTTTCTTGCAGTTCCATTGCATACAAATAGGTCAGCTTGCCAGTGCCTGGGTGGTGCAAACCACAAAGTAAACAGCAGCAAAAGTAACCCCTACAGGGGAGAGCACAACCTATGCATACCCTATCAGCCTGCACTTATTGGGGGAACCAAATGGCTGCGACCTCAGCTGAGAGGTCTTTTTCTTAGACATTTAAAGGGGTAGATCTCACAGTTTCATAAGCCAGGGTTTGAAACTGCAATGCCCCATCCATCATGAAAGGGCTCTGCTCACCGTGCACAACCATTGCCATCTTTTCAACAGCAACATCTGGGATCATGTTGAAGGTGGTGTTGGCCTAGAAGAGAAGATACAGATGTTGAAACCTGACAGTCAAATCAGCCTCCCCTTCGCCAAATCAGCTGCTGGCCTTTTCAGTCACCTACCTGGTAAATCATGTCTGGGAAGTTGCCTTTGGGGAGACCATGCAGGGTCTTCAAAACATGTTCCCCTGAAGGAACCTGTAGAAAGGAACCATCAGTCCATAAGCAAAGTGAAATCCTCTCTCTAGTGGTAGAAGTGGCTACTACAGCTAAGCCAGCATTTCTGTAGCCATAGCAGAGACGTGGTGCAGGCTGACATGCTTAATCCCACCTCCCCAGACCCCTTCTATTGCCAGAGCTGTATCCACACCCGGGGTTTTGCTGACATAGCTATGTTGGTTTCAGGGTCTAATCTTCTGGCTCCCCTCCACTAATCAGACCAGACCTGAACAGCAATGCTGAGAGATACTCAACACTACGTGGACACAAAGCCATTCAAGTAGCAAGACCAAATCTCCCTCTGACTCAGGAGGAAGAGGCTAGCAGGGATCCTTGCCCTCTTGGACCAGAAGCAACCTGCCTCCCTCCTCCGCAAGGCCACTCCCCTTGCTATAATTAGCTCCCAGCTCCAAGTGCTTGGCTGTCTCCAGCAAACTGCCACAGGACGTGCAGCGGGGATCATCCAGAAGGGAGACGAGGCTCTTCTTGTGGTCTCTCAGCCTGGGTGCCAGCATGCCTTGGTACAGGGTCAGTGTCCAGATGGTCTTATTGAGAATCTGTAAATGGTGCAGCGAGTTCTGTAGGTCTTAAAGAGAAAGCCCAAGGCTAGTGCCAGTGCTCTGTGCCACTGCAGCAGCTAATGCTATTCTCTCCTCCCCCAGAGCCTCCTGAAAGTCCAAAGAAAGCCCTCAGAATGTGGGTTAGGGATGAAGATAGCTCCCTCCCTCTATGAGGAAGAAAGAGGAGCTGGTGGCCCTGCAAAAGGGACCTCTGTGGGGTAGAGAGGCATGGAGATGCCTATCCTAGGAGATCTCTGGTGACACCTCCTTTCTTTTCTGGAGGACAATTCTGTTGCCACCAGAGAAGGCCAGCCACCACCTTACCTTCTGCCCTGCCCTTCAAGGCTTCCAGCGTGGAGTACACCTGGTCCTTCAGCTGTGAATGGATGGTGAGGCCGATGTTCCAGCCAACAGCTGAAAGGGACCAGAAACCCCTATCAGCTGCTGCCTCTGGAAATCATGGAACTGATCCTGCTCTCTACACCTGGTACAGAGCCTCACCCACTCAGGGAGCTGGGATACAGGCTGCGGGCACTTGGTGCACAAATCGGTTGTGCCAATGGTGAGGTCTGAAGGGAAGTATCTCCTTGCAAAGCCAAGAATAGCACACTCTGAGAATCCAGCCAAGTGAGATGGGAGTTAAAGGCCTGATTCTGGTTCTGTCCAAGCAAATGGGAGCTTCATCAGGACATCAGTGGGAGCAGGGAGCTGAAGGCAAACATGTGTAAGGAGGGAAGGCACAGAAATGCATGGGACTTGAAATGACAATGCAGAGAGGAGAAATACGGACGGCGTTGACAAACAACCATCCTTGCCAGCAGTCCCCATCCCTGGAAATGGGAAATCCACCCTGGTGCAGGAGAGAAAAGGCCCTGGGCCAGGTACTCACTGTTCAAGTCACCAATTATTTGGTCTTTGGGGACTGCAAATTGCTCCACCACCGAATTCATCCCCTGTGAGAGGAAGAGAAGCAGAGAGAGGGCCCATTCAGTGCCAGGGAGGCAGCATCAACACAGGGTGCTACTGAAATGAAAACCCTGCAGCAACATAAAGAACTGTGCAGCTCAGTCAACCCACCCCAAGCTCACTGCATCTGCATCCCAGAGCCCTGGCCCACTTGGGCACCCTGCCTCCCCCCTGTGGCAGGCTGCAGGGTGGCAAGCAGAGCTTGTCAGGAGCCCGGGTAGACCTCAGTCAGGAGGGAGGGAAGGAAACTGCTTTGCAATTAAAATGCATGTTTAATAGTGCTGCAGCCTATCACATGGCTTCCCCCTTGTTTCTGGCCTGGCCCAAGCTTGGAGACATAGGGGCAGGCCACCAGTAGGCAGGGAGTGGAAGTAGGGTGATCATCACCTTTTCCAAATGGAAAGGCGTGACACATGCCCGCCTCTTCCCTACCCCCCTGCAACTCCCTGCATGGCTGGAGAAGAGCCAAATAGAGCAGGGTCTGATGTGGGCTCCCTACTGTGAGCTTGGGGCTCCCCGCCCTGCTGCCTTTCACCCAGGAGCCCTGTGCCAGCTGCATGCCCCATGCTGGCTGCATGCCCCATGCACTGCCCTGGCTGGACAGCATTCCCAGTCCCTGTCCCACTCCCTCTACCACCGTGGTGGCCTCGATCTGCCCCCTCCCCCACATGACTTACCTTCAGGGAGCTGCTCTCCATGATGCCTGGCTGTATTCCCAGCCATATGCATGTGTGTGAGTGCGTACAAGCATGTGGTGCCCCCTGGATCCTGCTCCCGGCAGCGCCAAGCAGCCCCTTGCAGGCTGGAACGCTGCCAGCTTGCAAAGGAAAACCTGCCACTTCCTGCAGTTTTCTGCAGTGAACAGAAAACCCAGATCCCTGCACGATACTGGGAGTCTGAGACAAATGCTGTCTTGGAGTCATGCAGCCCAGGACTGGGACTTGATGTTGCCATTCCAGGACTGTCCCACCCAATTAGGGACAGGTGGTCACCCTAAGTGGAAGCTGTCACTCCATCACACTATGGAGCCCATGTGACTATGAATCACCCCGCAGCCAGCACCCCAACTCCATAGACCATCTGCTACAAGGTCCTTCTATGCTTCTACACTACACAGCACCCCAAACTCCTGGACCATGGCACTGCACAGTCCCTGCCCTTCCCCACACAGCACTCCCCACACCTAATAAGGAAGCTGGTGTCCCTTTACCCAACTGGCCCAGCACACAGCCTGGCTCAGCACTGCCCTGGCACATTGTGAAGGTGATGCGTGTCCTTTCCCATCTCAAGAGACACCATCTGTGGCAGTTGCTGAAGAGGCCCACCTGTCTACTCCCATTACTGCACTGGCTACAAAGAGTCTGGCAGCAGCTTGCTGTGGGGTGAAGTGCTCTGCCCAGGAGAGAGATTTCTCATCCCTCTCCTAAGCAGAGCAGAGAACAACACATCCATGATTGACATCTGGAAGCTGGCATTGTGCTGACAGAGCCTCTGCTCACCTGGCAGGCACTGACATAAAATAGCGCATGTGCAAGAGAGGTGCATGTAAGTTTAGGTGTGTAGGTGCAGGGCTGTCTTGTGTCCACCCACTCACTCAACCCTCTGGAATGTGAGGGCTAGGACACATCCACGTGGTCATTAGTGCATGCACCTCCTTCAGGCATGTATGGATGTGTGCATAAGCACAAGTATATGCATGCCAAGAGGTGGCAACCACACTGCCTGAAGCCCCTGGCTTCTAAATGACATTGAGCTTCTACTGCTAAAAGATGGGCTGTCAGAGCAGGTGGAAACAGGCCCTACAAAATGCCCAGTACCACGTACTCAGCTCCATCCTCATGCATGTGCTGTGCACACCTGAAGGATACACATACTCTAATGCCCTCAGGAGCATGCCCCAGCCCCCAAGGACTGCACCCGTGGGATCTAGCTAACTCTAATTAACTCTCACGTAGATGCAAAACTATGTAGGGATTGAGTGCTGCAGCACAGTAGAAGACCATCAAACCATGTTCACTTATAGGTCTGAGCAGCATTTTGGTGTGAGTCTCTAGAGGTGAGCCAAACACCAGGTTTCTATGACAGCCAGCCCCAGACAGGCAGCACTCCTTCCCAGGCTGCATTCAAAGCCATGCATCTCTCCCCCTCCAGCCTGGGTTCACTGAATGACCTGGAACACAGATCCCTTACAGCAGTCAGCCCAAATGGAAAAGCCGGCTCCTGCTCACCTTGGGGATATCATCAATGTGTTGCCTCAGCATCCGCAGAGTGAATGGCACAACCTGGATGCCGGGCTCCATCTGCTCCTTCACCCTCTGGTTGGTGATGAAAGCACAGGTCACGCTCGTCCTATGGAAGAGGAGCAGAGACAGGTCAGCCAGGCTCAGAGCTCTGTGCTGGCAAAAAAGGACCAGACTTCTCATTCAACACCACCCTCTGACATGACATTGGCTAGAGCCAACATTGTGGCCAGGAGAGGCTCCTTTAGCTCCAGCTCTGGGAGGTCTGGCCCTATATGGGTTTTTGGGCATCTTTGTATACAGCACAGTGCCTTCAAGAGCACGAGAGAAGGATGAAACAAGAGTGCAGCCGGTCATGGTTGCTGGATTGACAGCATGGGGGAATAGGGACTGAAGACCTGGCAGGGCTGGAAATTCAGGGTTTCAGGCCATGATTCTGATTCAGCAAGCCTCCATTTTTGGGAGCCCAACTGGGGACATTTGCAAAACGAAAGAAGCCCCAAATGCGAGCTCTTGCATGTCAAGATCAAACCAGCCCCCAAGTGATGCCCTGTGGTTCCATTTCTCTTCCCAGTTACCCCTTCCTTACCAGGGCATGGCTCCCTCTGCCATTCCCCTCCATCAGCTACGCCCATGCCCAACCACCCATCCCCTTCAGGTCCCTCTCTCATGGCCAGAGCTGCCCCCTCACTCACAGAATGATGATGGAGGTGAGGAGGAGGCCGAGCATGAGGAAGTTGCGCTGGCAGATGAGAGAGTGGCGATAGGCCTTGATTCGGCCCCCGCAGTGCTGGCGCCTCCGCCAGTAGCAGAAGCACAGCCCGATCACCGGCATGGCGAAGAAGAAGAGCACAGCGATCACAGCACAGATGATGTAGCCCATCTCATAGCGCATGACCTAGGTGGGGAGAGCCAGGCCTTCCTTAGGGTGGTATGGGTCATTCACCCAGTCCCAAACCACCCCATCCCTCTGTCTTCCCTTGACTCAAGCCTCACCCCTCTCTCCTCATCTACCCCTTCCCTTGTCCCCATCCCTACATCATTTTCTTTCCTGCCTCATTCTCATCTACATGTCCCCTCAGCCCTTCCCCTCCCCAACTAGATGCACCCACATGCAGCATAGCCCTTTCCCCTGACTCCATATCCTTGGTTTTCCCAGATCCAGCTCACTCACAGCCATGTCTGCCTCATCCACCCAGTACATGGATGTAGGTGGCAGCCACTAGGTCACTGCCCAGGTCTGAGTCCCAGGCTCACAGACCCCTTGAAACACACCCCATCCCATCCCACATTGCCCCTTTGCATCTCACCTCACAGTGCTTCTTAGTCGTCCCTCCATATCCCCAGTGTCTGCTCCTGACCCACTGTCATGCCCATCACACCTTGCCCCATCACCTCTTCCTGTCCCAAACCCTAACCATGTCCCCATGCATATTCCTTCTGGACTCTACCCCTCCTTTACCCTTCCCAGCCCTGCATGGGCTGCCAGGAGATGAGTGCAGCTGGGCCTGTGCCGCTCCAGGTGAGTCCCCAGAGTAGGCATGTGCCCCTCTGTCTGCACCCAAGCTCACCTGAGATGTTCTGACCGAGTCTGGGTCATTCAGGGCTCGTCTGAGCAGCTCTGTGAAATAAAGCCAGTTATTCACAGATCTTCCCAGCACAGCAGTGGACAAACAGGGCAGGAACTCCCACAGGACGTACAGTGTGGCTACACTATGGTCACTATGAAGTGCCTAACTAGCACTTGTGTGGACTGGGTTTAAACTGGCTACTTTTGCTCAGCTTGGGATGCATGACACACCCAAGGAGCAAATTGGAGTAGCACTGGGGCTGATCATTGTAAAGTGAGTTTGGGGATATCAGCATTAACAAAGAGTCCAGAGTCTGCCCCCCATCTAGGAGGCTCATTCACCCAGTGTGGGCAAGGCAGGCCAGTTTCTGTTGCAAACTGCATTTGAGGGTATTACACCCAGCTGCCTGACTGCCCAGTCTGAATCACCAGGCACCCATTTACAGCCTTTAGTGTGAATCTGGAGCAAAGTATGAGCTCATGCCTTTGAACTCATAGCAGGACATCCTACCTCCTCAATGCCTCTATCTCTCTTGAGTGCAGAGCATGGGTACCCTAAGTGCTGGGGCTGGGTCCTATCACCTCTACCCCTATGGAGCCCAAGAGAGGACCTGACCCACTCTAGAGTGGATCCTGGTCTAAGAAGTAAGAAAGACCCCCAAGTTCACATGTTGTCTGCAACTTGGCCCACCGCAGGTCCAAATCACATCCAGGGGACTCTGTGCACAGCTAAAGGGGGCCATGGGGGTGGGCTTGCCAAAAAGATTCAGGAACAGATCTCTATGTGCCCCAATCTGAGCCAGATTTTATGCTGAATTGTCTGGAAAACCCAGGCTTGTTCTGGGTCAGAACCCCACCAATGCTGCCCCTTTCCTCTGGCACCAGGGTTTTCCCAGCTCTCTGGCACCCCACATTTGGCTTACCTGTGGGGAAGGGGTTCTGCTGGACCACATCCAGGTAGTGCCGGACCACACTGTAGAGGGGATCCAGATTGCTTGGGACGCGGTGCAAAGCAGGGACCTGGAGGTCGGCACCTACCTCCACAAACTGGAGGATGATGGGGGGGGTTCCAGCACATTTCTGGGAGTGAACAGGATCCAGCAGAACCAGGACAATCACCAGAGTCAGTGCTAATCCGGAGCTGCAGGCTCCTCCAGGCTGGGAGGCCTGCATCCGTGCAGAATTAGACAAGAGGTGGGATCTGGGAGAGAGCCTGGATTGCAGCTGAGATCCAAGCAGACCCAGCCCTGGGGTTCGGTGTAGTTGCGCCTTGATGCTGCGAGGAAAAAGGGTTCCTTGGATGTGCCCTGAAATCCCCTCAGAGCTCCTGCTTCCAGCGCCCAAAACAGAGCACAAGGAGATACATCCCTGCCTTTTGTGTTCCCCGATCCTCAGCTGATTGTCCCTGCAGCTCAGAAACCCACCCAACTGGTCTGACACCTTCCCACAGGCCCAGGTGCTGCAGCAGCTTGCTTCTCTCTGCCTCTGGGGCTGGGCCAGGGTGGGGCGGAGAGGCGGCGGGGAGGGCCTGCCAGCAGAATCCCAGCCGGTTTCATAACCCTCGCTGCGTGACTGAGTCACCGACCGCTTTAATGCTAGCACGGCTTATCCAGCGAGGGGCCTGGAGTCCCCAGCAGGCCTGAGAGGCAGCGGTGGCTGTGACGTCCAGTCGCTGCCTCAACGGGGACTTCTTTCTCACACAAACCTGCAGCCACAGCTCTTCCCATCCTGCTGTCTGTCATTGATCAGGGCATCACTAAAAGCTCCAAACTAGACTTAGTGGGCACGTCTATGTGTGCAGTGAATGCTATTTGGCTTTACTGGGCAGTAAATTAATTTGCCGCGCAGTAAGCGCCTGCATGTGCAGGTGGTGATGCTTTGTACATATGGCCAGGGGCTCTTATAAGTCCTCTGAGGAGCAGCTGAAAGAGACTTTAGCTCTCATATTCTAGGGGCTATACGCTGGGTGTAAATTAGACCAGCCTCTGGGCTGCTCTAACTTATGCTGAGCTTCCTGTGAGAAGGCTACTGCAGCTATAGCACAGAGCCCTTTGGACGCACCCCTAACGCTGCTTTGAAAACCTCCTGTGCAAAGTCCAGAAAAAGTGCTTTGTTTGAGTTAGAGAAGCTGTTTAAGCAAAGGCTTCCTTAGAAGACTATTGGCACCCTCTTTAAGACCCCTTTCCACTGTCAGAACAGCATAGCAGGCCCAAGCCCCATCAGAAGCAGGGCGAAAATTAGTAATCCGTTCAGCACTTCTTTGGTTCCTCCACACACTGAGCAAAGTCACTCCAGAGACATGGGTATTCCCAAAAGTGTTGGGTCCAGACTATTTTCCACAATACACGGCTGATTTGCAGCATGGAAAGCTCTCTGCAGAAGCTGATGGGGGAAGGAGGAAAACCTGAGGAGAGCAAGGTTTCAGGCCCTACATTGCACCATACATTAGTATCTGCTATTCCCAGAAACTGCCCCAAATGTCTATGTAGAGCAAGCCAGCAGTGAGAGGCGGCCCTCACTGACCCTGTCTCTTAGGGTAAGCAGAGTGCCTCCCACGCAGCCCCCTGGCACTGCGGACAGAGCATGCTGTCCTAATCAGGACACTTTGGCTCCTGCCAAAGAGGAAAGAAGTGAATCTGCTTTTTCTGAACTCGGCAGGTACCCAAGTCTGCCCCTGCACCGTGAGATCTGTGAAGCCAGCCTGAAGCACTGCCCAAGGCCAGGAGGAACCTACCAGGGTCTGAGTCATGTCCCGTTGGCAGATTCTTCTGCTGCACTGAAATGGTCCTGAGTAGCAACTGCCAGGGATGGCGCCCATATGGAAACAGGAGGGCCCTAATCACCTTTTCCC